CCAACAATAACACCAACAACACCAACAATAACACCAACACCACCAACAACAACACCAACAAACAACACCAACAATAACAACAACACCAACAACACCACCAACACCACCACAAAGAACACCACTAACAACACCACTAACAGCAACAGTGCAAAGTATAGAGAGGCAAGCTTTAGCCACATCACCAAAAATGCTTATTAATAAAGTATATAAGTATACATTTGCATAAATACATCAATTCCCCAAAGCTTTGGCAAGGCAGCAAAACAACAACGACCACACGAGGGAGGTTTTCGCGAGAAATAAATTTTTAAAATATAATTCATACTCAAGGTGTTTGTGTGTCGGATCGCCTAGGTATGGCCACGGAGGCTTTGTCACGTGACACCAAGTGTCGACCCTGATGACCCGTTGAGTTATCGTCCCATCACTCATCTCTCGAACCTCTCTCAACTCCTCGAAAGACTCGGCCCTCGCCCGGCTGAAACCCCACATCACCTCCTCCCCAAACTGCTGCTCCTCCCAGTCAGCTCACCGTCAAAACTACTCCACAGAAACAGCGCTCGCCAGAGCGGCTCCACGACATTTGCATGATTGTTGCCTCCGGCTCCATCGCTGCGCTTGTAAAGTCCGGACATTTCATCCGCCTTTGGCACCGTCAACCACTCGCTCCTTACTTGCCTCCTGAAATCCGACTTGGGTACATGTGGCTCGGCACTCAAGTGGATACTCGCGTACCTTTCTGATCGGCAATCCTCATTCAGGGTGGGCTCGTCCACATCCGCTGAAGCAAAAGCGTCGTGGGGCGTCCCCCAGGGCTCCGTCTTCGGTCCCCTGCTGTTCACGGCCTACGCTTCCCCGATCGGCCGCCTCATCGCAAGCTTCGGTGTCAAGCACCACTCATACTGGTGGGAACGAAGTTGTAAACTGAGTGTACCAGCCTGCAATAGATTAATGTGTCCGTCCGTCCGTCCCCTTTCAGTACTTTAACGAAGTGAAATCTCGTGCTGTTGGGTGTAAAAATTCCAATGTTCCTACCAGCCCACCCTGCAGGGACCTGTTAATGCGGACGACAATATTCTGTTCTACCGCCATCAGTTCTACCAATGCGTCTGGATTTGAGAGGCTCTCGGAATGCACCACGGCCCTGCAACAGTGGTTCTCTGCACAAAACCTTGCCCTTAATCCGTCAAAGTCAGTGGCCGTCGTGTTAGGTACCAGGCAACGTCTCAACTTTTCTGCACTCCCAACACACACGCATCTTTGGTCGCAACATCAGGTTCACCGGATCACTTCAGCTACCTCGGTGTCATCCCAGACTCAACTTTATCCTTTGGCCCGTCAAACCAATCGCATCATCAGTTCATGTAACTTTCACCTGAAGGCTCTCAGACACCTACGTCCTCTCATCTCCACCGAAACTGCCGACACATTGGCAAAACAACCTGGGATGCAAATTTTGATTTAAAGCTTTTGTGACTGCAGTAATTCATATTCTTAGTTTTTTCGGTAAAGTCACGTTGAAGAGAAACAACAAAATAATAAAATATAAATATAAAACAATAAAAAATTCTCACGACGTTTCGACCATAACTCAAACGGTCATCATCAGGTGTGTCGGTTTGCATAAATTTATTTTTAAACGGCGCATTTATTTATTTATTTAAAACGTTGGCGCCACGCGCAACGATTGGCAGTTTGCCCAGGACTAGTCCATCTATTTTTTTTTTTAAAAGAGGAGGGGGGAGACGAAATTTTTTATAATGTATGCTGTCTAAATAAATGTGCCGTTTTAAAAATAAATTTATGCGAACCAACACACCTGATGATGACCGTTTGAGTTATGGTCGAAACGTCGTGAGAATTTTTTTTATTGTTTTATATTTTGTTATTTTGTTGTTTCTCTTCAACGTGGTGACTTTACCGAAAAAAAACGAAGAATATGAACCTGGGACGCGTCGTCATTGGCCGCACTCATCCCCGTCTGGACTCGCTCGGCCTCTCTCACAGAGATCGCCTGCCTCTGCCACCGCGCCTCTCAGGATCTGCCTGACCCCCGTAGCTCCCTTCATTATTGACGACTTGCGGCACAGCACGCGGCGGATGATTTCGCGGTGCGACTCGCGACCTCCTCTCGGTACCAAGGTCCAGGACGGCCACGTCTATGCGCAGCTTCGCGGTGGCTGCCCCAACAGTCTGGAACGACATCACCGCCCCCACTCTGCACATTCGCAGCATCGCCTCAATCGTCTCCTTCAAGAGACGCTTAAAATCTCACCTCTACAACCACGCTTTCGAGTGGCTCTGAGCTTGACTCCACGCCTCTGACTTGCGGCCGTTACGTTCGCAAATTTGCGCGTGTTATAAATTGCATTATTGTTGTTATTATTATTGAACAAAGCGTGGTGACTAGTCACCACGCTCAAAGCGTGGCGATCATTCACCACGCTCAAGCGTGGCGATCATTCACCACGCTTGGAATCACCGGCGAACCGTCACCAGCTACTCAAATTGTAAATGTGGATTTAATCTCCGACGCACTGGTGGGCTGACGTGTTCACTAATTGGCACCACGCTTCGTCACGTGACAGAGCCTTCGTGGTTGGCTGTCGGGTGGTGGCGGGTTCACGATATACTTAGGCGATCTAACACACACACAAACCGGTATTTGTGAACAGAAAAAAACGGGAATCCCTCAACAACGCAGCACAATGACATCGAACTACCACTACGACACGTGCAGTAAGGATCACAAATCACAAACGCGGTGGCTAGGAGATGTCACCTTCCTCGCCTGGTGTGCAGGAGGTAGTGGGTTCAATCCTGACCCTGATGATGCCTGCTGTTGTTGTTGTCTGTGTGGAGTTTGCGTCTCTCCGTTGGGGTCGCGTTTAAAGTGTTATGGGTTTCTGTGGGTCTCTGTGGTACTATACGAGTCTGTATCTCTGTGGGTCTCTTATGAGTATGGGTCTCTATAGGTGACTGTGGGTCTCTGTGGTACTATACGAGTCTCTGTGTCTCTGTGGGTCTCTTATGAGTATGGGTCTCTATAGGTGACTGTGGGTCTCTGTGGTACTATACGAGTCTGTATCTCTGTGGGTCTCTTATGAGTACGGGTCTCTATTGGGTATTGTGGGTCTCTGTGGTACTATACGAGTCTCTGTGTCTCTGTGGGTCTCTTATGAGTATGTGTCTCTATAGGTGACTGTGGGTCTCTGTGGTACTATACGAGTCTCTGTATCGCTGTGGGTCTCTTATGAGTATGGGTCTCTATAGGGTACTGTGGGTCTCTGTGGTACTATATGAGTCTATGTATCTCTGTGGGTCTCTTATGAGTATGGGTCTCTATAGGGTACTGTGGGTCTCTGTGGTACTATACGAGTCTCTATCTCTGTGGGTCTCTTATGAGTATGGGTCTCTATTGGGTATTGTGGGTCTCTGTGGTACTATACGAGTCTCAGGTATCTCTGTGGATATCTTATGAGTATGGGTCTCTATAGGTGACTGTGGGTCTCTGTGGTACTATACGAGTCTCTATCTCTGTGGGTCTCTTATGAGTATGGGTCTCTATTGGGTATTGTGGGTCTCTGTGGTACTATACGAGTCTATGTATCTCTGTGGGTCTCTTATGAGTATGGGTCTCTATAGGGTATTGTGGGTCTCTGTGGTACTATACGAGTCTCTGTATCTGTGGGTCTCTTATGAGTATGGGTCTCTATAGGTGACTGTGGGTCTCTGTGGTACTATACGAGTCTCTATCTCTGTGGGTCTCTTATGAGTATGGGTCTCTATAGGGTACTGTGGGTCTCTGTGATACTATACGAGTCTCTGTATCTCTGTGGGTCTCTTATGAGTATGGGTCTCTATAGGTGACTGTGGGTCTCTGTGATACTATATGAGTCTCTATCTCTGTGGGTCTCTTATGAGTATGGGTCTCTATAGGGTACTGTGGGTCTCTGTGGTACTATACGAGTCTGTATCTCTGTGGGTCTCTTATGAGTATGGGTCTCTATAGGTAACTGTGGGTCTCTGTGGTACTATATGAGTCGCTGTATCTCTGTAGGTCTCTTATGAGTATGGGTCTCTATAGGTGACTGTGGGTCTCTGTGGTACTATACGAGTTTCTGTATCTCTGTGGGTCTCTTATGAGTATGGGTCTCTATAGGGTATTGTGGGTCTCTGTGGTACTATACGAGTCTCTATCTCTGTGGGTCTCTTATGAGTATGGGTCTCTATAGGGTATTGTGGGTCTCTGTGGTACTATACGAGTCGCTGTATCTCTGTGGGTCTCTTATGAGTATGGGTCTCTATAGGGTACTGTGGGTCTCTGTGGTACTATAGGAGTCTCTATCTCTGTGGGTCTCTTATGAGTATGGGTCTCTATAGGTGACTGTGGGTCTCTGTGGTACTATACGAGTCTCTGTATCTGTGGGTCTCTTATGAGTATGGGTCTCTATAGGTGACTGTGGGTCTCTGTGGTACTATACGAGTCTCTGTATCTGTGGGTCTCTTATGAGTATGGGTCTCTATAGGTGACTGTGGGTCTCTGTGGTACTATACGAGTCTGTATCTCTGTGGGTCTCTTATGAGTATGGGTCTCTATAGGGTACTGTGGGTCTCTGTGGTACTATAGGAGTCTCTATCTCTGTGGGTCTCTTATGAGTATGGGTCTCTATACGTGACTGTGGGTCTCTATGGTACTATACGAGTCTCTGTATCTGTGGGTCTCTTATGAGTATGGGTCTCTATAGGTGACTGTGGGTCTCTGTGATACTATACGAGTCTCTATCTCTGTGGGTCTCTTATGAGTATGGGTCTCTATAGGTGACTGTGGGTCTCTGTGGTACTATACGAGTCTGTATCTCTGTGGGTCTCTTATGAGTATGGGTCTCTATTGGGTACTGTGGGTCTCTGTGAGTCTGGGTCTCTGTGAGTCTGGGTGGTTCTGTTGGAGTCTCTGGATCTATGTGGGTGTCTATGAGTACGACTGAGTGTGGTTCTCTGTGGATTCAGAGTCTGTGGCTGCTACTATAAATTCCCAATTCGTTGAGCTATCATTTGTGGACAGGTCGCTTCTGAAAAATCGCTCAGTGAGCCTTACCTGGTAACATAAAAATAATGGTTTAAGTTCGCAAATGTGGTTGTACCCAGCACTAATATTCTGCTTCAGGATGTTTGAATTAGAATGCAGACACAAAGACAAAGGTACCCAGTGTAGCCTCGAACAGGGCCGTGTGCAGAGGGTGGGTGTGGCCATTGAAGAGGGTGGGCGTGGCCTGAGTAGGTAGCGGGCGTGGCCTAAGTAGGTAGCGGGCGTGATCTAGGTAGACAGTGGGCGTGGCCGGTGTATGGTGTGGTCTGTATAGGTAGGTGTCACATGAGTGGGCGTGGCACGTGATGAGTGGGCGTGTCCTCGTCACTTCTTCATGATGGACGAGAGTTCGAGCAGCATGCTCTGCAACACACACCACGCCCACCGGTCACAAGCCACGACCATCACATAGAGACCACGCCTACAATCGTGACGTTTGTTAGCGCCCAAGCCACGCCCACTCTGTACACAAGCCACGCCCTACTGATACCAAGCCACGCCCACTTCATATTAACCACGCCGCCTGATATTCAGGCCACGTTTTTCACGATTTATTCAGCTCCCCTTAAACCACGTCCCCTTAGACAATCCATGCCTCATTATGTACATCTACAGAAGCAGAGAGACACAGGGAGACAGAGACAAAGACTCACATAGAGACCCAAACAGAGACTCACACCGAGTGGTGTGTCTATGAGTCTGTGTGGTGAGTCTATGGGTCTCTCTGTGGGTAAGTCTAAGTCTCTCCGTGTGAGTCTGTCCCTCTCTCTCTGAGTCTGTCTCTGTGTGAGTCTATGTTTATCTGTGTTAGTCTATGTCTCTCTGTGTGAGTCTGTCTCTCTCTGTGTGAGTCTTTCTGTGTGAGTCTGTGTCTCTCTGTGTGAGTCTGTCTCTCTTTCTCTGAGTCTGTCTCTATGTGAGTCTATGTTTATCTGTGTTAGTCTATGTCTCTCTGTGTGAGTCTGTCTCTCTCTGTGTGAGTCTGTCTCTCTCTGTGTGAGTCTTTCTCTCTGTGTGAGTCTATGTTTATCTGTGTTAGTCTGTGTCTCTCTGTGTGAGTCTGTGTCTCTCTGTGTGAGTCTGTCTCTCTGTGCGAGTCTGTCTCTCTCTGTGTGAGTCTGTCTCTCTGTGTGAGTCTGTCTCTCTGTGTGAGTCTGTGTCTCTCTGTGCGAGTCTGTGTCTCTCTGTGTGAGTCTGTGTCTCTCTGTGTGAGTTTATGTTTCTCTGTGTTAGTCTATGTCTCTGTGAGTCTCTCTGTGTGAGTCTGTGTCTCTCTGTGTGAGTCTGTGTCTCTCTGTGAGTCTGTGTGAGTCTGTGTCTCTCTGTGTGAGTCTATGTTTATCTGTGTTAGTCTATATCTCTCTGTGTGAGTCTGTCTCTCTGTGTGAGTCTCTATGTCTCTGTGAGTCTCTCTGTGTGAGTCTGTGTCTCTCTGTGTGAGTCTGTGTCTCTCTGTGTGAGTTTGTCTCTCTGTGTGAGTCTGTCTCTCTGTGTGAGTCTCTATCTCTCTGTGAGTCTCTCTGTGTGAGTCTCTCTGTGTGAGTCTATGTCTATCTCTGTGTGAGTCTATGTCTCTCTGCACGAGTCTATGTCTCTCTGTGTGAGTCTATCTCTATGTGTGAGTCTCTCTATGTGAGTCTATGTCTATCTCTGTGTGAATTTGTGTCTCTCTGTGTGAGTCTGTCTCCCTCTGTGTGAGTCTGTGTCTCTCTGTGTGAGTCTGTCTCTCTCTGAGTCTATGTCTCTCTCTGTGTGAGTGTGTCTCTCTGTGTGAGTCTGTGTCTCTCTGTGTGTCTGTGTCTCTCTCTGTGTGTGAGTCTGTGGCTCTCTGTGTGAGAGTCTGTGGCTCTCTGTGTGAGTCTGTGTCTCTGTGTGAGTCGATGTCTCTCTCTGAGTCTGTCTCTCTGTGGGAGTCTGTCTCTCTGTGGGAGTCTATGTCTCTCTGTGTGTGTCTGTGTCTCTTTGTGAGTGTGTGTCTCCCTGTGTGAGTCTGTGTCTCTCTCTGTGTGTGAGTCTATGTCTCTCTGTGTGAGTCTGTGTCTCTCTCTGTGTGTGAGTCTGTGTCTCTCTGTGAGTCTGTGTCTCTCTCTGTGTGTGAGTCTGTGGCTCTCTGTGTGAGTCTGTGTGTCTCTCTCTCTCTGTGTGAGTCTATGGCTCTCTGTGTGAGTCTGTGTCTCTGTGTGAGTCGATGTCTCTCTCTGAGTCTGGCTCTCTGTGGGAGTCTGTCTCTCTGTGGGAGTCTGTGTCTCTCTGTGAGTGTGTGTCTCCCTGTGTGAGTCTATGACTCTCTGTGTTAGTATATGTCTATCTCTGTATGTCTTTCTTTGTGAGCCTCTATTTACGAGTCTTTCTGTGTGAGTCTGTGTCTCTCTGTGTGAGTCTGACCCCTGCCCACCCCCTCCTATAGCGGCCTCTAGTGGCGATCGACTAATTACCCCATATAAGCTGTCCGCTCCACTGATCTGGGTCATAGTAATTGGGTAATGATCTCAGATTTTTTGCCTTGGGAGAAAAAAACCTCTCCCTGTCATTGACAAACTCAAGGTTACATCTCTAATTGATCCTTGCCCAGGGCATTCCGATGCATCACACAGAGAGACACAGACTCATCACACATAGACCCACATACTCATCACAGAGCTACAGACTCACAGAGACCCTAGACTCACGACATAGAGACCCCGAGACTCACTACAGAGACCCTGAGACTCACTACACAGACCCCGAGACTCACTACACAGACCCCGAGACTCACTACACAGAGACCACTAGACTTATTACACAGAGACCCCTATACTCACTACACAGTGACCCCTAGACTCACTACACAGAGACCACTAGACTTATTACACAGAGACCCCTATACTCACGACACAGAGACCCCTAGACTCACTACACAGAGACCTCTAGACTTATTACACAGACCCTTAGACTCACTACACAGAGACCACAACTCACTACAGAGACCCCTAGACTTATTACATAAGACCCCTATACTCACGACACAGAGACCCCTAGACTCACTACACAGAGACCTCTAGACTTATTACACAGACCCTTAGACTCACTACACAGAGACCACAACTCACTACAGAGACCCATAGACTCAATACATAAGACCCCTAGACTCACTACACAGAGACCCCGAGACTCCCAAAACAGAGACCCCTATACTCAATACACAGAGACCCCTAGACCCACTACACAGAGACCCTTGGACCCACTCGGATTGAATGGACGGTAGGGAGCTAAATGGCGAGGTATGGCGCTACACAATAGGGTTTGTGGTGGTGGTGCTGATAACCACCTCCATCACCACCACCTCCATAACCACCACCAGAACCACCACCACCATCACCTCCACCACTGCCACCACCTCCTCCATCACCAACAACAACCGCCATTCGCCACTAAGTGGTGGTAACGTCACCATGGCGCTTGTGATCTCTTCACACAATCCAGCCTGGTTAAACCCAGGATGGATTGTACGCAGGCTAGCCTAAGTGTTTTGAAACAGCAAAGATGTCCCATTAGGGGGGTCCACGTTTCACAAGCCTCGAGAAGGGAGGGCATTACGGTGGCTGAGAAGACCCGACGCTTTGTGTGCGGAGCGACAGACCAGGTAGCTTCCACACAGCAATGCGCAGCAGACAAACAGATAATGCCGCTCGACTGATTCGGAGTGAGACCTCTGCTGCCAAACCGCAGCTAATCATAGCACGCTGCCCAGGTATGGGAAACTCTCCACAACTGTCCCATCACCAATGGCGTGTTCAGGGGGTATAGTGTTTTATGGCACAAAATACCCAGGCAGGTGCTTAGTTTTGGTGGGGCGGATTTTCAAGGCCCCATCTCTTAGTAGCACACTTCAAGTCTAGCAGCAGCACCTCAAACTCCTCCTCTAAGTGAGCAGCAATCACCGTAACATCATGCATACGTAAGATGGTTGACCAATTTGGAGCCATCCCTCGATCGCACACGGGCATCGATCAGCCTCCCTTTGTGTCTTTACCGGATGGAAATTCCTCCGGTACAGCCATGGAGGCTTCTCAAACTACGTGGTCAAAGGAAATTCCTTTCGCACACCCAAGGTGAACAGGGAATGGCTCCGACTCCCGGCCACATAGTTTTAACCGGGACCGCTCACCATCATGAAGGTCCTTAATGGTTGTGAGCATAGAGTCAGCGACTCCAAAAGCACGAAGAACAACCCAGAGCCCAGGCCTACTGATGGTATCATAAGGCCTCGACCCGGTCAATAAAGCAGAGATGTAGGTCCTGTGGGAATTACCTACACCTCTGCTGTAGCAAACAGACAGAAAATATGGCATCTGTGCAGAACCGACCTGGCCAGAAACCACTTTGGGGCTCTGCAAAGCCTCTCCTCAGTGAATAATCCTTGGCAGGACCTTTCCCGGTATCACACTAAGGAGGTAGATGCCCCTGTAGTTTTTACAGTCTGTGTGGTCCCCCTTCTTAAAGAGGGGGACCATCAGGGCATTCTTCCAAGCCTGCAGAACTCATCCAGTGGTCCAGACTGTTATTATGATGTCATGTAGGGCAGTCTATGCACAAACGACACCCTCCCTCAGCATTTTGCTTGGGAGATCATCTCTGCCCGGCACTTTTCCTGGTCTCAGACTCTGGATCGCCTTCTGTACTTCCTCAACAGATGGCACTTCAGACACTCACAGGGGGTGACTTCTTCTTACAATATTTGAGGGACGTCTGCCTCAGCAGGGTCTTTCCCACTTTGCACCGTGATGTTTTCCAGGCTGAGGGATTTCCCTCCCCCAAGCCTCTAAAAAATTATCAGCAAATCTGCAAACCTGTTCCTGGGGGTTATAGATCAGATTTAAATTCTTTCCCCTGCTGCAAGATACTTTATTGAAGGAGTTAAATGGTGATTTGTGATAGCGGGCTACTGAGGCAGACTCCTCAGCAACCCGTGACCACCACTCATCCTTGCAGTGCTGCATAGCTCTCCGAACCTCCAAGCGAAGGCTGCGGTAAGCCTCCTCATTGTCCAATGTGAGATGGTGTAGATGGTGGGAGTGGGCCTGTTGCTTTTCTCAGCCAGCCAGAACACCTCGTCCATCAGCCAGGGTCTCTGGGGAGGTCTGGACCGTGTAACCAAATAGCCATTGCAGCTGCATGAGCCACAGTCCTAAACCTCACCCATTTCCCCTCGGCATTAGGAAAGGGGGGGGGGACGATGCCACTGTGGGTTGGAATGGGGTCCTAGATGGACACCCACCACTGGAGTGGAAGAAAGGCAGGCGCATCTTACAGATGACTAGTCGATGGTCAGTGGGCAGATCAGCTCCATGGTAGGTCCTGGTGTAAAGGACATGGGCCCGCATCCGCTGTTCCATCACTATGTAGTCCAGCAGATGTTCTTGCTTGGACCCGGCATGCATCCATGATGTTGTGTGGATGCGATGATGCTGGAACAGTGTGTTGGTCCTCCCGTTGTTATTGAGCTGATCTGGCCCATGCCTTCCAATCATTCCAGCACAGGTGCCAGCATCATGACCCACTCAGGCATTACAGTCACCCAACAGGATGACTCTATCCTGAGGGACCACTTTAGCACCTATGACAGGAGGTCATAGAAGGAATCTGACTCATCGGCTTTGCCTGCATCCCTCCACTGATGTTCATCTTTTATAGGGGCGTAAGAAACCACCACCACTCCCCACCTCACTGCCACACCTCACTGCCATGCTCCCACGCCCTCTTCATTTTTTTTGTTCAGAAGAGCCACTCTCCCTATTGTTTGGCATGTCTCCTGCCCCGAGTAGAGGACAGTCCACCCCTCATGGTGGCAGGAGCCAGAGCCGGTCCACCGGACCTCCAGAATACCACAGAGATACAGGCGGTACCGGTCCAGCTCCCGACAGACGAGTGAAAGCCTCTCCTCCGCAGTGAGCGTTCAAACATTCCACGTGGCCACTCGCAGTGGTTTTTTGCTGTTTCTGGAAGAACTCCGAGGGTACGGGATCAGTATCCTGGCTCTGCCAAATGTGTTTGGCCAGGAAACGTCATAGACACCTGTCCCCCCGGGGCCTCTGGTACAAGCTTAGCTCTGTCGCCACCACCTCCATCAACACCACCAGCGGCACCAGCGGCACCATCACCTCCACTACCACTAACTCTTCCATCTCCTCCATTACCACCACTATAAACACCATCACCTCCATAACCACCACCACTAACTCCACCACCGCTCTCGACAGTCAAATGGCGAGGTCTGGGGCTACACGGCGGGGATGGTGGTGATGTTGGCCCTGATGACCACCTCCTCCAACACCACCTTCACCAGCACCACCACTGTCTCCACGTCCATCACCACCAACAACAACTCCTCCACCACCTCTTCCACCTCCATCAACTCCACCATTCTCTCGAACTCCCCCACCACCACCTCCAACTCCACCACCACCTCCTCCTCCTCCACCTTTCTCTCCACCTCCTTCACCACCACCCCCAACTCCACCACCATCTCCTCCAACTCCACCACCACCACCACCACCTGCCCCACTTGCCATGGAGACTCGGCGCGACGTAGGGGGAGGGGGACTCGGGCCGCTGAGTTCGCTGGACCCCGACACGGACCCGGAGCCAGACCCCGTGCCAGACCCAGAGCCCAAAACCGAGCCGCTCAGCCTCTCCTCATCTCCACCTCCTCCTCCATCTCCACCACCTCCTCCATCATCTCCACCATCATCTCCTCCGTCATCTCCACCGTCATCTCCACCGTCATCGTCCTCCTGCTGCTGCTGCTGCTGCTGCTGTCTTCGTCGTAGACGCCGGACGTCCGACTCGGACGTCCGATGGACGTCCCCCGACATGGCACCGCCCTCCGTCTCCCCGCGTCTCCTTTCTGCCTGCGACAATGACGAGGAGGAGGAAGCCGGTGATGAGGAGGTGGAATAGGGAGGAGGTGGTGGAGGAGGTGGAGGTGGTGGTGGTGGTGGAGGAGGATGAGGTCGGAAGCTTCTGTTACTGCTCCCTCCACTGCTCCCTCTGCTACCACTCACAGAAGTCTTCAGACCGCTTCCGGAGATGTTTGGATCAGTACCGGAGGAGATCTTCAGACCGGTACTGGAGGAGGTGTTTGGATCAGTACCGGAGGAGATCTTCAGACCGGTGCTGGAGGAGGTGTTTGGATCGGTACCGGAGGAGACCTTCGGACTGCTGTCGATTAAATCTTGTGGACGGCGAAGCCAAGTTCCGAAAACTCCTCTGCCAGATCCTGCGCCACCTCCGTCTCCTCCTCCGATACCTCGAGTAGGCGTAGCGTGAGCAGATCCACCGCCGGTGGGCGCACCGGTGGCAGCGGTTTGGCGTTTGCCATTGTGGGTCGTCGTCGCGGCGGTGCCGGTGCCGGTGCCGGTGCCGGTGCCGGTGCCGGTGGCGGTGGCGGTCCAGGCCTGGCCCGGCGCATTGGACCCGGCTCCTCCTCTGCCATGCCCACCCTGGGGGAGGTGGGGCGGGAGGGGGGAGAGGGAGGGGGCGGAGGAGTCGGGAATTCCAGTGGCCGGGACTTCTGTTGCACCGAGTCGCTCGGAGAGTTGTTGCGAGCGCAAACCAGGGCCGAGGCTGATGCTGCACTGCATCCTGGGAGGGCGGCACTGCCGTTGGGTCCGTGGGGATCCGCGAGGCTGCACGCGACCTCGAGAGCGGGTTTGTGTACCCTGGGCTTCTACCGCATCGCCTCGTCACACAGGAGTGGAGCGTGCGTGAGGGTCGGTGCCAAGGGTCGGTGCTCTGTGATTGTCGACACGCGGGGTGGCTGTGTTAAGCCGGCGAACTACGGGGTACTGTCGCCGAGAGTTTTCATGGTTGTACTTGGTTGTCAAGAAATTATTATCCACCGCAGTTGGTTCGCATCCTTGTGCGTAGTGCGTCGATACTGCATAATGAATCAAGGCATCGTTCATAAATTCCTTCCAAATTTTGTAAAGATCCATTGTGTTATGGATCGAGTTATTGTCCTTCTTTCTGTCGCCGTTAAAGCAACGTTTAAAAAAATCCGCATTGGTCTCCTGTAAAAATATTTAGGGAATTTCATGGGAGAGAAAATAGATCCGAACTCCTCCCCTCTGCAATATTAAAAATGAGCAACCCTCACAATCATCACCATCATCACCATCACCACCATCACCACCACCATCACCACCACCGATATCACCACCGACATCACCACCAACATCACCACCAACATCACCACCACCAACATCACCACCACCAACATCACCACCACCATCACCACCAACATCACCACCATCACCACCACCACCACCATCACCACCACCACCATCACCACCAACATCACCACCACCAACATCACCACCACCAACATCACCACCAACATCACCACCACCAACATCACCACCACCATCACCACCACCACCACCACCATCACCACCAACATCACCACCACCAACATCACCACCATCACCACCACCACCATCACCACCACCACCACCACCATCACCACCAACATCACCACCACCACCATCACCATCACCACCACCATCACCACCAACATCACCACCACCATCACCACCACCAACATCACCACCACCACCATCACCACCAACATCACCACCAACATCACCACCAACATCACCACCAACACCATCACCACCAACACCATCACCACCAACATCACCACCAACATCACCACCACCATCACCACCATCACCACCACCACCACCACCAGCGACGCTTACCCCAGAGCGGGAGGGGCTGGCCGCTGAGGCCGTGAGGTGCCCCTGGCTCAAAACGTTTGTCTCCGAGTCTGCCGCTCCGTGCCCCCAAGGGCTCCTTCCGGCTTCCCCTGCCACTGGCCCAGGTGGCGGAATGGCGCTCGGCGAAGTCACCGTGGAGACGTCGCTTGGTCCTGCACCTCCTCTCCCTCCATCCCCGCCACCGAGTGACACCTGTGGTATTGATGCTCGCAACTTTGAGTGTCGTGGCACCGCAATTGAGCCACCGTTACCGCCACTACCACCACCATCACCAACTCCACCGACAAGACCTCCACCACCACCACCACCAATCTTCTGGTCCTCCACCGCCGCTGGGCCCACCTCCACCGTCGCCTCCGCCGCCGCCGCCGCCGCCGCCGCCGCCGCCGCCTCGGCGCAGCCCTTGCTCTTGAGCAACCCCCGGCGGAGCTTGCGGAAGCCGAGGTGGGCGATCTCCAGCACGTTGAGCACCAGGGAGATGGCGGCGATGCTGAGCATGAAGACGACGAAGACCGTCTTCTCGGTGGGGCGCGACACGAAGCAGTCCACCACGTTGGGGCACGGCCGGCGGGCGCACTTGTAGAGGGGCCGTAGCGCGACGCCGTACAGCGAGCACTGGCCCAGCATGAAGGCCACCTCGAGGGCGGAGCGAGCCACGATGTGCAGCACGTACGTGCGCAGCAGCGCCCCCCGCAGCGGCGCCTTGCTCAGCTTGCGCTGCTCCTCCAGCTTGCGCAGCTCACGCTCCAGGCGCTTGTGCTGCCCGCCCGGCTGGGGGAGGGCAGCGGTGGCGGGGCCCTGGGGGTGGAGGAGGAGGAGGAGGGTGGTGGTGGTGGTGGTGGTGGTAGGGTGGGGGAGAGGTGGAGGAGGGAGATGGAGGGGATGAGATGAAGATTATCTGAGTGGGTAGGTGCATGGGAGGGCCCTGGAGGAGGGTGGTGGTAGGGTGGGGGAGAGGTGGAGGAGGGAGATGGAGGGGATGGGATGAAGATTATCTGAGCGGGTAGGTGCATGGGAGGGCCCTGGAGGAGGAGGGTGGTCGTAGGGTGGGAAGGAGGGAGGGAGGGAGATGGAGGGGATGAGATGAAGATTATCTGAGTGGGTAGGTGCATGGGAGGGCCCTGGAGGAGGAGGGTGGTCGGGTGGGGGAGAGGTGGAGGAGGGAGATGGGATGAAGATTATCTGAGTGGGTAGGTGCATGGGAGTGCCCTGGAGGAGGAGGGTGGTGGTGGTAGGGTGGGGAGGAGGGAGGGAGATGGAGGGGATGAGATGAAGATTATCTGAGTGGGTAGGTGCATGGGAGTGCCCTGGAGGAGGGTGGTGGTGGTAGGGTGGGAAGGAGGGAGGGAGGGAGATGGATGAAGGGGATGAGATGAAGATTATCTGAGTGGGTAGGTGCATGGGAGGGCCCTGGAGGAGGAGGGTGGTGGTAGAGTGGGGGAGAGGTGGAGGAGGGAGATGAAGGGGATGAGATGAAGATTATCTGAGTGGGTAGGTGCATGGGAGGGCCCTGGAGGAGGAGGGTGGTGGTAGGGTGGGAAGGAGGGAGGGAGGGAGATGGATGAAGGGGATGAGATGAAGATTATCTGAGTGGGTAGGTGCATGGGAGGGCCCTGGAGGAGGAGGGTGGTGGTAGGGTGGGGGAGAGGTGGAGGAGGGAGATGGAGGGGATGAGATGAAGATTATCTGAGTGGGTAGGTGCATGGGAGGGCCCTGGAGGAGGGTGGTGGTAGGGTGGGGGAGAGGTGGAGGAGGGAGATGGAGGGGATGGGATGAAGATTATCTGAGCGGGTAGGTGCATGGGAGGGCCCTGGAGGAGGAGGGTGGTGGTAGGGTGGGAAGGAGGGAGGGAGGGAGATGGAGGGGATGAGATGAAGATTATCTGAGTGGGTACGTGCATGGGAGGGTCCTGGAGGAGGAGGGTGGTGGTGGTAGGGTGGGGAGAGGTGGAGGAGGGAGATGGAGGGGATGAGATGAAGATTATCTGAGTGGGTAGGTGCATGGGAGGGCCCTGGAGGAGGAGGGTGGTAGGGTGGGGGAGAGGTGGAGGAGGGAGATGGGATGAAGATTATCTGAGTGGGTAGGTGCATGGGAGTGCCCTGGAGGAGGAGGGTGGTGGTGGTGGGGGGGGGAGGTGGGAGGGAGATGGAGGGGATGAGATGAAGATTATCTGAGTGGGTAGGTGCATGGGAGTGCCCTGGAGGAGGGTGGTGGTGGTAGGGTGGGAAGGAGGGAGGGAGGGAGATGGATGAAGGGGATGAGATGAAGATTATCTGAGTGGGTAGGTGCATGGGAGGGCCCTGGAGGAGGAGGGTGGTGGTAGAGTGGGGGAGAGGGGGAGGAGGGAGATGAAGGGGATGAGATGAAGATTATCTGAGTGGGTAGGTGCATGGGAGGGCCCTGGAGGAGGAGGGTGGTGGTAGGGTGGGAAGGAGGGAGGGAGGGAGATGGATGAAGGGGATGAGATGAAGATTATCTGAGTGGGTAGGTGCATGGGAGGGCCCTGGAGGAGGAGGGTGGTGGTAGGGTGGGAAGGAGGGAGGGAGGGAGATGGATGAAGGGGATGAGATGAAGATTATCTGAGTGGGTAGGTGCATGGGAGGGCCCTGGAGGAGGGTGGTGGTAGGGTGGGAAGGAGGGAGGGAGGGAGATGGATGAAGGGGATGAGATGAAGATTATCTGAGTGGGTAGGTGCATGGGAGGGCCCTGGAGGAGGAGGGTGGTGGTAGGGTGGGAAGGAGGGAGGGAGGGAGATGGATGAAGGGGATGAGATGAAGATTATCTGAGTGGGTAGGTGCATGGGAGGGCCCTGGAGGAGGAGGGTGGTGGTAGGGTGGGGGAGAGGTGGAGGAGGGAGATGGAGGGGATGAGATGAAGATTATCTGAGCAGGTAGGTGCATGGGAGGGCCCTGGAGGAGGGTGGTGGTAGGGTGGGGGAGAGGTGGAGGAGGGAGATGGAGGGGATGGGATGAAGATTATCTGAGTGGGTAGGTGCATGGGAGGGCCCTGGAGGAGGGTGGTGGTAGGGTGGGAAGGAGGGAGGGAGGGAGATGGAGGGGATGAGATGAAGATTATCTGAGCGGGTAGGTGCATGGGAGTGCCCTGGAGGAGGGTGGTGGTAGGGTGGGGGAGAGGTGGAGGAGGGAGATGGAGGGGATGGGATGAAGATTATCTGAGTGGGTAGGTGCATGGGAGTGCCCTGGAGGAGGAGGGTGGTGGTGGTAGGGTGGGGAGGAGGGAGGGAGGGAGAGTGAAGGAGAGAGAGGGATGAAGGAGGGTGGCTGAGGGAATAGGTGAGTGGGATAGGTGTCCCTGACTCTTTGCTTACAATCATTAAGGGCCTTCATAATGATGGGCAGGCCTAGGTAAAGCTACGTGGCTGGGAGTCAGAGATGTTCAGAGTTTTTGATGAACGAAGAGGTCCTACCGATGTAGGGCTGTATCTGTTTCATCTCGTAAATATAATTAAAGACATTAAGCTTAACCCTAATGATATTCTAGTCAGTTTTGATGTGACTTCTCTGTTCACGAGGGTTTTGGTCAACAAGTCAATTAAATTAATCGACACTCTGGTAGCGAACAAAGGATATCCATTGGGCTTTATTAGTAATACATCGGCATGTTGCGACCCCCATTGCCACTGTGTAGCATATTATTACGTGCCAGGGACTCTATGAGATGATAGTGACGGCTAAGCAGTTATAAGTGACTCACAGAATTGTGCGCAGTTGCGTATACAGAGTACACGACTTCCCTGAAGGCATTCAGCTTCAGCGAGCGCGATGCCGATCACACAACGCGGTCCGAATTCGACCCTCGATCGATGGCTGAGCCATCGCCGCACACGAATTGAACAAAAAGCAAGGGACAAGTCCTTACTTACTAACAACTCCTTACTTACTAACAACTCCTTACTTACTAACAACTCCTTACTTACTAACAACTCCTTACTTACTAACAACTCCTTACTTACTAACAACTCCTTACTTACTAACAAGTCCTTACTTACTAACAACTCCTTACCTACTAACAACTCCTTACTTACTAACAAGTCCTTACTTACTAACAACTCCTTACTAACAACTCCTTACTTACTAACAACTCCTTACTAACAACTCCTTACTTACTAACAACTCCTTACTTACTAACAACTCCTTACTCACTAACAACTCCTTACTTACTAACAACTCCTTACTTACTAACAAGTCCTTACTTACTAACAACTCTTTACTTACTAACAACTCCTTACTTACTAACAACTCCTTACTTACTAACAACTCCTTACTTACTAACAACTCCTTACCTACTAACAACTCCTTACCTACTAACAACTCCTTACTTACTAACAACTCCTTACTTACTAACAACTCCTTACTTACTAACAACTCCTTACTTACTAACAACTCCTTACTTACTAACAACTCCTTAACTTACTAACAACTCCTTACTTACTAACAACTCCTTACTTACTAACAACTCCTTACTTACTAACAACTCCTTGCTTACTAACAACTCCTTGCTTACTAACAACTCCTTACTAACAACTCCTTACTGACTAACAACTCCTTACTGACTAACAACTCCTTACTTACTAACAACTCCTTACTTACTAACAACTCCTTACTTACTAACAACTCCTTACTGACTAACAACTCCTTACTTACTAACAACTCCTTACTTACTAACAACTCCTTACTTACTAACAACTCCTTACTTACTAACAAGTCCTTACTTACTAACAACTCCTTACTTACAACTCCTTACTTACAACTCCTTACTTACAACTCCTTACTTACTAACAACTCCTTACTTTCTAACAACTCCTTACTTACTAACAACTCCTTATACTAACAAGTCCTTACTTACTAACAACTCCTTACTTACTAACAACTCCTTACTTACTAACAACTCCTTACTTACTAACAACTCCTTACTTTCTAACAACTCCTTACTTACTAACAACTCCTTATACTAACAAGTCCTTACTTACTAACAACTCCTTACTTACTAACAACTCCTTACTTACTAACAACTCCTTACTTACTAACAACTCCTTACTGACTAACAACTCCTTACTTACTAACAACTCCTTAACTTACTAACAACTCCTTACTTACTAACAACTCCTTACTTACTAACAACTCCTTACTTACTAACAACTCCTTACTTACTAACAACTCCTTACTTACTAACAACTCCTTACTGACTAACAACTCCTTACTTACTAACAACTCCTTAACTTACTAACAACTCCTTACTGACTAACAACTCCTTACTTACTAACAAGTCCTTACTTACTAACAACTCCTTACTTACAACTCCTTACTTACAACTCCTTACTTACAACTCCTTACTTACTAACAACTCCTTACTTACTAACAACTCCTTACTCACTGACAACTCCTTACTGACTAACAACTCCTTACTTACTAACAACTCCTTAACTTACTAACAACTCCTTACTTACTAACAACTCCTTACTTACTAACAACTCCTTACTGACTAACAACTCCTTAACTTACTAACAACTCCTTACTTACTAACAACTCCTTACTTACTAACAACTCCTTACTTACTAACAACTCCTTACTTACTAACAACTCCTTACTTACTAACAACTCCTTACTTACAACTCCTTACTTACAACTCCTTACTTACAACTCCTTACTTACTAACAACTCCTTACTTACTAACAACTCCTTACTCACTGACAACTCCTTACTTACTAACAACTCCTTACTTACAACTCCTTACGTACAACTCCTTACTTACTAACAACTCCTTACTTACTAACAACTCCTTACTTACTAACAACTCCTTACTTACTAACAACTCCTTACTTACAACTCCTTACTTACTAACAACTCCTTACTTACTAACAACTCCTTACTAACAACTCCTTACTTACTAACAACTCCTTACTTACAACTCCTTACTTACAACTCCTTACTTACTAACAACTCCTTACTTACTAACAACTCCTTACTTACTAACAACTCTATCATTTTAATTGCTAGAGGGGTTGCCCACCCTACCTGAAAATCCTGGCTCCGCCATTGTGTAAACCTGTTCCGAGGGATCACAGATCGGACAACTCTATTTCCCCTAAGGGTGATAATACGTGTGGTGCTGCAAGTTACTTTTTTGATGGAATTAAAGTGTGATTGATTTGTGATCACGGGATACTGAAGCAGATTCCATCTCAGCAATCCACGACCACCACTCATCCTTGCAGAGACACACACAGAAACACACACACGTACAGAAACAACAACCACCATTCGCCACCAATGAGCGGTGACGTCACCATGGCGCTTGTGCCAGGCTATGTGCACGTTAATGCCATGTGGGACATGTGGGGGTGGAGTGTCCGATGGTACAAAGAACCCAGGCAGGTGCTTAGTTTTGGTGGGGCTGATGGTAAGGCCCCACCTCTTAGTGGCACGTTCCAAGTTCAGCAGCAGCGCCTCCAACTCCTCCTCTGAGTGAGCAGCAATCACCAGATCGGCATACATAACATGGTTGAGCAATAGGGAGCCATTCCTTGATCGCATCCGGGCATCGATCAACCTCCCATTGTATCTGGACCAGATGGAAATTCCTCTGGTACAGCTACTGAAGGCTTCACGAACTACATGGTCGAAATAGATGTTAAATGATGTTGGAGCCAGAGGACATCCCTGTTGCACCCCAAGGTGAACAGGGAATGGCTCCGACTCACGGCTACGTAGTTTTAGAGATGACAAGTCGATGGTCAGTGGGTAGATCAGCTCCACGATAGGTCCTAGTGTCAATGACATGGGTCCGTATCCGCTGTTCCGTCACAAAATAGTCCAGCAGATATTTTTGCTTGGACTCGGCATGCATCCATGATGTGTGGATGCGCCGATGCCGGAACAGTGTGTTGGTAATTACAAGCCCATGGGCAGCACAAAAGTCTAGCAGCCTCATACCATTGTTATTGAGCTGATCCGGCCCATGCCTTCCAATCACTCCACACCAGGTGCCAGCATCATGACCAACTCGGGCATTGAAGTCACCCAACATGATGACTCTAGCCCGAGGGGCCACTTTAACCAGCACCTGTGACAGGAGGTCATAGAAGGCATCTGACTCATCTGCCTTGCCTGCATCCCTCCACGGATGTTCATCTTCGGTGGGGGCAAAAGTAACCACGACCACCACTCCTCACCTCCGGTTGATTGGAAGGCGAGCCCAACGTAGCCTGGGGCTTACAGGTTCCCACGTCTCACTGCCACGCTCCCACGCACCCTTCCAGAGCCTCATTTGGCCACACAGCAACACACACACAGCAACACAAAACAAAGACAAAGATCCCCCATATAGCCTGTAACAGACTGTAGGGGCAAGTGCTGTAAGCGAGCAGCACCTATAAAGGCCGGCACGGCACACGAAGAGGGTGGGTGGCCAACAGCACGCCCGGCCACCTTTGTCTCCCTAGTGGAGATGTTTACACATCGCACCAGGTACTCATTTAGAGGCTGAGTCGACCTAGGGGAGGCCCAGGACCTGTTCAGATAATCGTCACCGGTGTTGGCCGTGAGCAGGAATCAAACCCGGGCCGCCAGGTTCATAGCGCAGCGTAGCGCTAACCGCTACACGACCGCTCCCCACACTACACAGAAACACGCAGAGACACACACAGAGACACGCAGAGACACACAGAGAGACACGCAGAGACACACACAGAGACACGCAGAGACACACAGAGAGACACGCAGAGACACACACAGAGACACACACAGAGACACGCAGAGACACACACAGAGACACGCAGAGACACACACAGAGACACACAGAGACACGCAGAGACACGCACAGAGACACACAGAGACACACAGAGACACACAGAGAGACACACAGAGACACACAGAGACACATCACAGAGACACATCACAGAGACACACAGAGAGACACACAGAGAGACACACAGAGAGACACACAGAGACACACACAGAGAGACACACAGAGAGACACACAGAGACACATCACAGAGACACACACAGAGAGACACACAGAGACACACACAGAGAGACACACACAGACACACAGAGACACACAGAGACACACACAGAGAGACACAGAGAGACACACAGAGACACACAGAGAGACACAGAGACACACAGAGACACACACAGAGAGACACGCACAGACACACACAGAGACACACACAGAGACACACACAGACACACAGAGAGACACACACAGAGACACACAGAGACACATCACAGAGACACATCACAGAGACACACAGAGACACACAGAGAGACACACAGAGAGACACACAGAGACACACACAGAGAGACACACAGAGACACACACAGAGACACACAGAGACACATCACAGAGACACACACAGAGAGACACACAGAGACACACACAGAGAGACACACACAGACACACAGAGACACACAGAGACACACACAGAGACACAGAGAGACACACAGAGACACACAGAGAGACACAGAGACACACAGAGAGACACACAGAGAGACACGCACAGACACACACAGAGACACACACAGAGACACACACAGACACACAGAGACACACACAGAGACACACAGAGACACAGAGAGACACACAGAGACACGCACAGACACACACAGAGACACACACAGACACACACAGACACACACAGAGACGCACAGACACACACAGAGACACACAGAGACACACACAGAGACACACAGAGACACATCACAGAGACACACAGAGACACACAGAGAGACACACAGAGAGACACACAGAGACACACACAGAGAGACACACAGAGACACACACAGAGACACACAGAGAGACACATCACCTGCTGCTGTTGCTGCTGCTGCTGCCGGACGTGCTGTAGGTGAGCGGTAAGCGGAATCTGCTGCTGTTGGTGAGGGAGGTGGTGGTGAGGATGGTGGTGGTGAGGAGGGTGGTGGTGGTGAGGGTAAGCCGACTTCCCACACTCAGCCCCCGGGAGCTCCATGCCCTCAAGCTCGGCACGGATGGCGGCTTTCTTGCGCTGCCGCTCCTTCTCCAGCGCACGCAGTCGGTAGAGAGCGTGGCCCATGTACATGAGGGATGGAGAGGAGACGAAGATCACCTGGAGAGAGAGAGGAGAGAGAGAGGAGAGGGGAGAGAGGGGAGAGAGAGGAGAGAGAGAGGGGAGAGAGGAGAGAGAGGAGAGAGGAGAGAGAGAGAGAGGGGAGAGAGGAGAGAGAGAGAGCGAGAGGAGAGAGAGAGAGAGAGAGGAGAGAGAGGGGAGAGAGAGGAGAGAGAGGGGAGAGGGGAGAGAGAGAGGAGAGAGAGAGAGGAGAGAGAGGGGAGAGAGGGGAGAGAGAGGAGAGAGAGAGAGGGGAGAGAGAGGAGAGAGCGTGGCCCATGTACATGAGGGATGGAGAGGAGACGAAGATCACCTGGAGAGAGAGAGAGGGGAGAGAGAGGGGAGAGAGAGGAGAGAGAGAGAAAGGAGAGAGAGAGAGCGAGAGGAGAGAGAGAGGGGAGAGAGAGAGAGAGGGGAGAGTGAGAGAGAGGAGAGAGCGTGGCCCATGTACATGAGGGATGGAGAGGAGACGAAGATCACCTGGGGAGAGAGAGGGGAGAGAGAGAGGAGAGAGAGGGGAGAGAGAGGGGAGAGAGGGGAGAGAGAGGAGAGAGAGAGGGGAGAGAGGAGAGAGAGAGAGAGGGGGGGTCAGGAAGGAGAGAGAGGGGAGAGAGAGAGAGGAGAGAGAGGGGGATCAGGAAGGAGGTGACCCCACAGACTGTGAGGGATGTAAGGAAGGTGCTGAGCGGGGGAGGAGTGGTTGAGGGCTGTCCCCCTCCCTCTGTCCCCCTCCCTCTGTCCCCCTCCCTCTGTCTCTCTCCCTCTGTCTCTCTCCCCCTCTGTCTCTCTCCCCCTCTGTCTCTCTCCCCCTATCTCTCCGCCTGTCTCTCTCTCCCCCTGTCTCTCTCTCCCTGTCTCTCTCTCTCCCCCTATCTCTCCGCCTGTTTCTCTCCCCCTCTGTCTCTCTCCCTGTCTCTCTCTCTCCCCCTATCTCTCCGCCTGTCTCTCTCCCCCTGTCTCTCTCTCTGTCTCTCTCCCACTCTGTCTCTCTCCCCCTCTGTCTCTCTCCCCCTATCTCTCCGCCTGTCTCTCTCCCCCTCTGTCTCTCTCCCTGTCTCTCTCTCTCTCCCCCTATCTCTCCGCCTGTCTCTCTCCCCCTCTGTCTCTCTCTCCCTGTCTCTCTCTCTCCCCCTATCTCTCCGCCTGTCTCTCTCCCCCTGTCTCTCTCTCTGTCTCTCTCCCCCTCTGTCTCTCTCCCCCTCTGTCTCTCTTCCCCTATCTCTCCGCCTGTCTCTCTCCCCCTCTGTCTCTCTCTCCCTGTCTCTCTCTCTCCCCCTATCTCTCCGCCTGTCTCTCTCCCTCTGTCTCTCTCCCCCTGTCTCTCTCTACCCCTCTGTCTCTCTCCCCCCTGTCTCTCTCCCCCCTGTCTCTCCCCCTCTGTCTCTCTCCCTCTGTCTCTCTCCCTCTGTCTCTCTCCCTCTGTCTCTCTCCCTCTGTCTCTCTCCCTCTGTCTCTCTCCCTCTGTCTCTCTCCCTCTGTCTCTCTCTCCCTCTGTCTCTCTCTCCCTCTGTCTCTCTCTCCCTCTGTCTCTCCCCCCCTGTCTCTCCACCTGTCTCTCTCCCTCTGTCTCTCTCTCTCCCCCTCTGTCTCGCTCTCCCTCTCCCCTCTCTCGCTCTCTCACCTGAAGGACCCAGTAGCGGATGAGGGAGATGGGGAAGGCTGCATCGTAGCAAACGTTCCTGCAGCCCGGCTGCTCCGTGTTACACACAAACTCCGCCTGCTCGTCGTCCCAGACCTGCCACGGCAACGTGGAGTGGTCCCCCACGGGACGGAAAGAGAGAGAGAGAGACGCGCACACACAACCGAGAGTCAAGATGAGAGATGCGGAAAGCTGGCGATATGGAGAGGGTGGGAGGGTGAGTGGACGAGTGGGAGAGTGAATTAGTGGTGAGTGGGCGAGTGGGTGGGTCGGTGAGTGGGTGGGTGGGTCGGTGGGCGAGAGTGTGATTCACTGAATGAGTGGGTGGGTGAGTAGTGGAGTAGTTGAGTGGGTGAGTGAGCGGACGATTCACTGAATGAGTGGGTGGGTGAGTAGTGGAGTAGTTGAGTGGGTGAGTGAGCGGACGATTCACTGAGTGAGTGGCTGGGTGAGTGGGTGGATGAGTGAGTGGGTGGGTCGGTGCGTGAGTGATTCACTGAGTGGGTGAGTGGCTGAGTGGGTTAGTGAGTGGGTTGATGGGTCGGTGTATCGGTGGGTGGGTCAGTGGGTGGTTCACTGAGTGGGTGGGTGAGTCGGCAGGTGGCTGGGTGGTGTCCGTCCAGCGAGTGGAGACGGAGAATGTTGTACCTCCTCTGCAGCCGCTCCGAGCACGAGCATCCTGAAGATGAAGAGAATGGTGAGCCAGATCTTGCCCACGATGGTCGAGTGGATGTGCACCTCCTCCAGGATCTTACCCAGCAGGTTCCAGTCTCCCATGGCGAGAGACAGGGAAAGAGGGGCAGGAAGAGATGGAGAGAGGAGGGGATAGAGAGAGAGACAGAGGAGTAGAGAGGGTGGTTGTTGATATGTTGAACTTCTTTAGCCAACCGCGCGACTTGCGGGATGCTGGCGATGATTGTGATGATTGTGATGATTGTGATGATTGTTGATGATGTTGGTGATGCTGATGTTGTGTTGGTAATATTTGGTGACGTTGGTAGCGAGGAGTTCGCTGCTTGAAGCCGAATCGGATCCGGAGTCTGAGCTTTTTATTCTCCCAGCGGGGGGCGAGGGGCGGGCCTAGAGGGGGCGGGGCTAGGGATGAGGGGCGGGGCTAGGGATGAGGGGCGGGGCTGAGGGGGATCTGTGAACCCACTGACACTACCATTGGGAACCTGACACGGTCATCGTGAACCCCATCCACACGGTCATCGTGAACCCCAGCACAGTCATTTTGATCCCCATCTACACGGCCATCGTGAACCCCATCTAAAAGGCCATCGTGAACCCCAACTACACGGCCATCGTGAACCCCATCTACACGGCCATCATGAACCCCATCTACACGGCCATCGTGAACCCCATCTACACAGCCATCGTGAACCCCATCTACACGGCCATCGTGAACCCCATCTACACGGCCATCGTGAACCCCAACTACACGGCCATCGTGAACCCCATCTACACGGCCATCGTGAACCCCATCTACACGGCCATCGTGAACCCCATCTACACGGCCATCGTGAACCCCATCTACACGGCCATCGTGAACCCCATCTACACGGCCATTGTGAACCCCATCTACACGGCCATCGTGAACCCCATCCACACGGCCATCGTGAACCCCATCTACACGGCCATCGTGAACCCCATCTACACGGCCATCGTGAACCCCATCTACACGGCCATCATGAACCCCATCTACATGGCCATCGTGAACCCCATCTACACGGCCATCGTGAACCCCATCCACACGGCCATCGTGAACCCCATCGACACGGCCATCGTGAACCCCAACTACACGGCCATCGTGAACCCATCCACACGGCCATCGTGAACCCCATCGACACGGCCATCGTGAACCCCATCTACACGGCCATCGTGAACCCCATCCACACGGCCATCGTGAACCCCATCGACACGGCCATCGTGAACCCCATCTACACGGCCATCGTGAACCCCATCTACACGGCCATCGTGAACCCCAACTACACGGCCATCGTGAACCCCATCTACACGGCCATCATGAACCCCATCTACACGGCCATCGTGAACCCCATCTACATGGCCATCGTGAACCCCATCTACACGGCCATCGTGAACCCCAACTACACGGCCATCGTGAACCCCATCTACACGGCCATCGTGAACCCCATCTACACGGCCATCGTGAACTCCATCCACACGGCCATCGTGAACCCCATCCACACGGCCATCGTGAACCCCATCTACACGGCCATCGTGAACCCCATCTACACGGCCATCGTGAACCCCATCTACACGGCCATCGTGAACCCCATCCACACGGCCATCGTGAACCCCATCTACACGGCCATCGTGAACCCCATCTACACGGCCATCGTGAACCCCATCTTCACGGCCATCGTGAACCCCAACTACACGGCCATTGTGAACCCCATCTACACGGCCATCGTGAACCCCATCTACACGGCCATCGTGAACCCCAACTACACGGCCATCGTGAACCCCATCTACACGGCTATCGTGAACCCCATCTACGCGGCCATGTTGAACCCCATCTACACGGCCATCGTGAACCCCATCTACATGGCCATCGTGAACCCCATCTACATGGCCATCGTGAACCCCATCTACGCGGCCATGTTGAACCCCATCTACACGGCCATCGTGAACCCCAACTACACGGCCATCGTGAACCCCATCTACATGGCCATCGTGAACCCCATCTACGCGGCCATGTTGAACCCCATCTACACGGCCATCGTGAACCCCATCTACATGGCCATCGTGAACCCCATCTACATGGCCATCGTGAACCCCAACTACACGGCAATCGTGAACCCCATCTACACGGCCATCGTGAACCCCATCTACACGGCCATTGTGAACCCCATCTACACGGCCATCGTGAACCCCATCTACATGGCCATCGTGAACCCCATCTACACGGCCATCGTGAACCCCATCTACACGGCCATTGTGAACCCCATCTACACGGCCATCATGAACCCCATCCACACGGCCATCGTGAACCCCATCTACACGGCCATTGTGAACCCCATCTACACGGCCATCATGAACCCCATCTACACGGCCATCGTGAACCCCATCTACATGGCCATCGTGAACCCCATCTACACGGCCATCGTGAACCCCATCTACACGGCCATCGTGAACCCCATCTACACGGCCATCGTGAACCCCATCTACACGGCCATCGTGAACTCCATCTACACGGCCATCGTGAACCCCATCTACATGGCCATCATGAACCCCATCTACACGGCCATCGTGAACCCCAACTACACGGCCATCATGAACCCCATCTACACGGCCATCGTGAACCCCATCTACACAGCCATCGTGAACCCCATCTACACGGCCATCATGAACCCCAACTACACGGCCATCGTTAACCCCATCTACACGGCCATTGTGAACCCCATCTACACGGCCATTGTGAACCCCAATTACACGGCCATCGTGAACCCCAATTACACGGCCATCGTGAACCCCATCTACACGGCCATTGTGAACCCCAACTACACGGCCATCGTGAACCCCATCTACACGGCCATCGTGAACCCCATCTACATGGCCATCGTGAACCCCATCTACACGGCCATTGTGAACCCCAACTACACGGCCATCGTGAACCCCATCTACACGGCCATCGTGAACCCCATCTACACGGCCATCGTGAACCCCATCTACACGGCCATCGTGAACCCCAACTACACGGCCATCATGAACCCCAACTACACGGCCATCGTGAACCCCATCTACACGGCCATCGTTAACCCCATCTACACGGCCATTGTGAACCCCATCTACACGGCCATTGTGAACCCCAATTACACGGCCATCATGAACCCCATCCACACGGCCATCGTGAACCCCATCTACACGGCCATCGTGAACCCCATCTACACGGCCATCGTTAACCCCATCTACACGGCCATCGTGAACCCCATCTACACGGCCATTGTGAACCCCATCTACACGGCCATGGTGAACCCCATCTACACGGCCATCATGAACCCCATCTACACGGCCATCGTTAACCGCATCTACACGGCCATCGTGAACCCCATCTACACGGCCATGGTGAACCCCATCTACACGGCCATCGTGAACCCCATCTACACGGCCATTGTGAACCCCATCTACACGGCCATGGTGAACCCCATCTACACGGCCATTGTGAACCCCATCTACACGGCCATCGTGAACCCCATCTACACGGCCATTGTGAACCCCATCTACACGGCCATCGTGAACCCCATCTTCACGGCCATCGTGAACCCCATCTACACAGCCATCATTAACCCCATCTACACGGCCATTGTGAACCCCATCTACACGGCCATTGTGAACCCCAACTACACGGCCATCGTGAACCCCATCTACACGGCCATCGTGAACCCCATCTACACGGCCATCGTGAACCCCATCTACACGGCCATCGTGAACCCCATCTACACGGCCATCGTGAACCCCAACTACACGGCCATCGTGAACCCCATCTACACGGCCATCGTGAACCCCATCTACACGGCCATCGTTAACCCCATCTACACGGCCATTGTGAACCCCATCTACACGGCCATCATTAACCCCATCTACACGGCCATCATGAACCCCAACTACACGGCCATCGTGAACCCCATCTACACGGCCATCGTTAACCCCATCTACACGGCCATTGTGAACCCCATCTACACGGCCATCATGAACCCCATCTACACGGCCATCGTGAACCCCATCTACACGGCCATCGTGAACCCCATCTACACGGCCATCGTGAACCCCAACTACACAGCCATCGTGAACCCCATTTACACGGCCATCGTGAACCCCATCTACATGGCCATCGTGAACCCCATCTACACGGCCATCGTGAACCCCATCTACACGGCCATCATGAACCCCATCTACACGGCCATCGTTAACCGCATCTACACGGCCATCGTGAACCCCATCTACACGGCCATTGTGAACCCCATCTACACGGCCATGGTGAACCCCATCTACACGGCCATTGTGAACCCCATCTACACGGCCATCGTGAACCCCATCTACACGGCCATTGTGAACCCCATCTACACGGCCATGGTGAACCCCATCTACACGGCCATTGTGAACCCCATCTACACGGCCATCGTGAACCCCATCTACACGGCCATTGTGAACCCCATCTACACGGCCATCGTGAACCCCATCTTCACGGCCATCGTGAACCCCATCTACACAGCCATCATTAACCCCATCTACACGGCCATTGTGAACCCCATCTACACGGCCATCATTAACCCCATCTACACGGCCATCGTGAAACCCATCTACACGGCCATCGTGAACCCCATCTACACGGCCATGGTGAAACCCATCTACACGGCCATTGTGAACCCCATCTACACAGCCATCATTAACCCCATCTACACGGCCATCGTGAAACCCATCTACACGGCCATCGTGAACCCCATCTACACGGCCATGGTGAAACCCATCTACACGGCCATCGTGAACCCCATCTACACGGCCATCGTGAACCCCATCTACATGGCCATCATGAACCCCATCTACACGGCCATCGTGAACCCCAACTACACGGCCATGGTGAACCCCAACTACACGGCCATCATGAACCCTCGGGCGACTGACATCGACTCGTAATGAATATCAATGATGCAACCTTGACAAAGAGAGACAGACACGAGTCCACAGCCTCCTAACGTTGTTCTTGAGCAAATGTGGCCCATGTCTTCAAAACACTCCTGCCCAGATGTCCACTCACTCACCCACCATCTCGCTCACTCATCCACCCACCCATCATCTCGTTCACCCACCATTTCGCTCACTCATCCACCCACCCACCCATCATCTCGCTCACCCACCCAGCCACTCTCACACACTCATCACCACCATATAACATACCCACCCACCCAATCACTCACCCACCATCTCGCTCACCCACCCACCATCTCGCTCACCCACCCACCATCTCTCACACACCCACCATCTCTCACACACCCACCATCTCTCACACACTCATCACCACCATATAACATATCCACCCACCCAACAACTCACCCACCATCTCGCTCACCCACCCACCATCTCTCACACACTCACCACCATCTCTCACACACTCATCACCACCATATAACATACCGACCCAATCACTCACCCACCATCTCGCTCACCCACCCACCATCTCTCACACACTCACCACCATCTCTCACACACTCACCACCATCTCTCACACACTCATCACCACCATATAACATACCCACCCACCCAATCACTCACCCACCATCTCGCTCACCCACCCACCATCTCTCACACACTCACCACCATCTCTCACACACTCACCACCATCTCTCACACACTCACCACCATCTCTCACACACTCATCACCACCATATAACATACCAACCCACCCAATCACTCACCCATCTCACACACTCACCACCATCTCTCACACACTCATCACCACCATATAACATACCAACCCACCCACTCATCCATCTCGCTCACCCACCCACCATCTCTCACACACTCATCACCACCATATAACATACCCACCCACCATCTCGCTCACCCACCCACCCACTCTCACACACTCATCACCACCATATAACATACCCACCCACCCAATCACCCACCATCTCTCACACACTCACCACCATCTCTCACACACTCATCACCACCATATAACATACCCACCCACCCAACCACTCACCCACCATCTCGCTCACCCACCCACCCACCATCCCTCACACTCATCACCACCATATAACATACCCACCCACCCACCATCTCGCTCACCCACCCACCATCTCTCACACACTCATCACCACCATATAACATACCCACCCACCCACCCACCATCTCGCTCACCCACCCACCATCTCTCACACACTCATCACCACCATATAACATACCCACCCACCCAATCACTCCCCCACCATCTCTCACACACTCATCACCACCATATAACATACCCACCCACCCACCCAATCACTCCCCCACCCACTCCCCGACCCCACCCCTCAATTAGCCACAGCGGCGCGTTCTCTCCTCTGTGCAGACCGACGGAACCCGGCCCAGGCCACACTAACGTGGAATTGCAAGCGAAGTAAACACGAGACAAGACTCGGACGTTTTGGGTTTTTGTCGTCTTTTAGTTCTAAAGCAGAAAACTTGGGAACAGCTCACGGGAGGGATGGGGAGGGGGGAGAGAGGGAGGGGGGAGAGAGGGGAGGAGAGGGAGGGAGGGGGGAGAGTGGGAGGGAGGCAAGGGAGGGGAGGAGAGAGGGGGGAGAGAGGGGGGGGGAGGAGAGAGGGAGGAGAGAGGGAGGGAGGCAAGGGAGGGGGGAGGAGAGAGGGGGGAGAGAGGGAGGGGAGGAGAGGGAGGGAGGAGAGGGAGGGAGGAGAGAGGGAGGGGAGGAGGGAGGAGAGAGGGAGGGAGGAGGGTGGGAATGAGGAGGGGGGATGGAATAGTGGGGGAGGGAGTGGGACAAGTGAAGGGGGAGGAGAGGGAGAAGCTCAGAACTGCGTTCTCTGCCTGTCGATGTATTTGTCCATGTCTGTGTCTCCCTGTCTACCTCCGTGTCCGTCTCCGTGTCTCTATCTCCATGGATCGCCGCTTGTCTCTTGTCTATCCGTGGATCTCCACGCGTCTCTGTCTGTGTATCTTCGTGTCTTCATATCTTCACGTCTGCGTTTCCCTGTGTGTGTCTCCGCGTGTCTGTGTGTGTCTCCGTGTGTTTGTGTGTGTCCCTGTGTGTGTCTCCGCGTGTCTCCGTGTGTTTCCGTGTCTCCGTGTGTGTCTCCGCGTGTGTGTGTCTCCGCGTGTCTGTGTGTCTGTGTGTGTCTCCGCGTGTCCGTGTGTGTCTCCGCGTGTCCGCGTGTCCGTGTGTGTCTCCGCGTGTCCGTGTGTGTCTCCGCGTGTCTGTGTGTGTCTCCGTGTGTCTGTGTGTGTCTCCGCGTGTCTGTGTGTCCGTGTGTGTCTCCGCGTGTCTGTGTGTGTCTCCGCGTGTCCGTGTGTGTCTCCGCGTGTCCGTGTGTGTCTCCGTGTGTCTGTCTCCGCGTGTCCGTGTGTGTCTCCGCGTGTCCGTGTGTGTCTCCGCGTGTCCGTGTGTGTCTCCGTGTGTGTCTCCGCGTGTCCCCGCGTGTCCGTCTCTCCGTGTGCGTCTGTCCGTGTGTCTCCGTGTATCCCCACACGTCTGTGTGTATCTCTGACTCGCCATGTGTCTCCGTGTGTGCGTCTCCGTGCGTATCTTCTCAAGACACATCTGTGAGTACACACACACACGCACGGCATTATGGGTAACGGTCACCAGGTTGAACCCTCACCAGGGTGAAAATAGTGGGTGAGTTGGTGGGTGAGTTGGTGGGTGAGTTGGTGGCTGAATGAATGAGTGGATGGGTGATGGTGTGAGTGGGTGGCTGAATGAGTGGGTGATGGTGTGAGTGGGTGGCTGAATGAATGAGTGGGTGAGTTTGTGGGTGAGTTGGTGGCTGAATGAATGAGTGGGTGAGTTGGTGGGTGAGTTGGTGGCTGAATGAATGAGTGGGTGAGTTGGTGGGTGAGTTGGTGGCTGAATGAATGAGTGGGTGAGTTGATGGTGTGCGTGGGTGGCTGAATGAGTGGGTGGGTGATGGTGTGAGTGGGTGGCTGAATGAATGAGTGGGTGATGGTGTGAGTTGGTGGCTGAACGAGTGGGTGAGTTGATGGTGTGAGTGGGTGGCTGAATGAGTGGGTGATGGTGTGAGTTGGTGGCTGAATGAGTGGGTGAGTTGATGGTGTGAGTGGGTGGCTGAATGAATGAGTGGGTGAGTTGATGGTGTGAGTTGGTGGCTGAATGAGTGGGTGAGTTGATGGTGTGAGTTGGTGGCTGAATGAGTGGGTGGGTGGGTGATGGTGTGAGTTGGTGGCTGAATGAATGAGTGGGTGAGTTGGTGGGTGAGTTGGTGGCTGAATGAATGAGTGGGTGAGTTGGTGGCTGAATGAATGAGTGGGTGAGTTGGTGGCTGAATGAATGAGTGGGTGGGTGATGGTGTGAGTGGGTGGCTGAATGAGTGGGTGGGTGATGGTGTGAGTGGGTGGCTGAATGAGTGGGTGGCTGAATGAGTGGGTGGCTGAATGAGTGGGTGGCTGAATGAGTGGGTGGGTGATGGTGTGAGTGGGTGGCTGAATGAATGAGTGGGTGATGGTGTGAGTGGGTGGCTGAATGAATGAGTGGGTGGGTGATGGTGTGAGTGGGTGGCTGAATGAATGAGTGGGTGATGGTGTGAGTGGGTGGCTGAATGAATGAGTGGGTGATGGTGTGAGTGGATGATGGTGTGAGTGGGTGGCTGAATGAGTGGGTGGCTGAATGAGTGGGTGGGTGATGGTGTGAGTGGGTGGCTGAATGAATGAGTGGGTGATGGTGTGAGTGGGTGGCTGAATGAATGAGTGGGTGGGTGATGGTGTGAGTGGGTGATGGTGTGAGTGGGTGGCTGAATGAGTGGGTGGCTGAATGAGTGGGTGGCTGAATGAGTGGGTGGCTGAATGAGTGGGTGGGTGATGGTGTGAGTGGGTGGCTGAATGAATGAGTGGGTGGGTGATGGTGTGAGTGGGTGGCTGAATGAGTGAGTGGCTGAATGAGTGGGTGGCTGAATGAGTGGGTGGCTGAATGAGTGGGTGGGTGATGGTGTGACGTGGCTGAATGAGCGGGTGGGCGAGTGTGTGTGAGTGAATGAGTGGGTAAGTGAGCTAGTGAATGGTTGAATGAGTGAGTACATCTACACAGTAGCACTTACAGTAACAGCTGTAATGCTTTGTGGAGTAGTGTTGTGCGGTAGATGTACGCAGTAATATTAAACGGCGGCAATCTAGAGCCGCAAACACTTCACAGTAGTGGGCGTGCTGCAATTTTGTGCGGTAGTGCGGTAGTGCAGTTGCACAGCACTACCGATTCTGCACTGCGGGTACAGGAGTAGTGGACAGTATAGCATGTCACTGGAGCACAGTGCAATCGTGGTGGGAACCACAGCTCACACTGTACAGCCTAGACGCTGTGCTAGACAGGTGTGGAGAGCCGGGTACAGTGGGGGTACAGTGGTGTACAGCTGTGTACAGTGGGATACGGTGGGTGTGGTTGCTCTGTGGGGTGGTACAGTGCTGTGGCAATGCCGTACAGTGGGAGGTTTTGTGGAACGGGGGAGGTTACAGTGGCGCATGGTGGGGAAGTCGTGTACAGTAGGTACAGTGAGGTACAGTAGGTACAGTGAGGTACAGCGAGTACTCACAGCTGGCTGGCCTCTCTCCGTAGCGACGCAGCATCTGGTCGTGGTTGAATTTCACAAAAGCGTCGTACTGCTCTACACGGGGAGAGAGACACGGGGGGTGAGACACGGGGAGAGAGACACGGGGAGAGGGACACGGGGAGAGGGACGCGGGAAGAGAGACGCGGGGAGAGAGACACGGGGAGAGGGACGCGGGGAGAGAGACGCGGGGGGTGAGAGAGACGCGGGGAGAGAGACGCGGGGGGTGAGACGCGGGGAGAGAGACGCGGGGAGAGAGACGCGGGGAGAGAGACGCGGGGAGAGAGACGCGGGGAGAGAGACGCGGGGAGAGAGACGCGGGGAGAGAGACGCGGGGAGAGAGACGCGGGGAGAGAGACGCGGGGAGAGAGACGCGGGGAGAGAGACGCGGGGAGAGAGACGCGGGGAGAGAGACGCGGGGAGAGAGACGCGGGGAGAGAGACGCGGGGAGAGAGACGCGGGGAGAGAGACGCGGGGAGAGAGACGCGGGGAGAGAGACGCGGGGAGAGAGACGCGGGGAGAGAGACGCGGGGAGAGAGACGCGGGGAGAGAGACGCGGGGAGAGAGACGCGGGGAGAGAGACGCGGGGAGAGAGACGCGGGGAGAGAGACGCGGGGAGAGAGACGCGGGGAGAGAGACGCGGGGAGACGCGGGGAGAGACACGGGGGGTGAGAGAGACGCGGGGAGAGAGACGCGGGGAGAGAGACACGGGGAGAGAGAGACGCGGGGAGAGAGACGCGGGGAGAGAGACGCGGGGAGAGAGACGCGGGGAGAGAGACGCGGGGAGAGAGACATGGGGAGAGAGACGCGGGGAGAGAGACGCGGGGAGAGAGACGCGGGGAGAGAGACACGGGGAGAGAGACGCGGGGAGAGAGACGCGGGGAGAGAGACGCGGGGAGAGAGACGCGGGGAGACACGGGGAGAGATACGCGGGGGAGAGAGACGCGGGGAGAGACACGGGGGGTGAGAGAGACGCGGGGAGAGAGACGCGGGGAGAGAGACGCGGGGAGAGAGACGCGGGGAGAGAGACGCGGGGAGAGAGACGCGGGGAGACACGGGGAGAGAGACGCGGGGAGAGAGACGCGGGGAGAGAGACGCGGGGAGAGAGACACGGGGAGAGAGAGACGCGGAGGGGGGAAGAGAGACACGGGGAGAAGAGACACGGGGAGAGAGACGCGGGGAGAGAGACGCGGGGAGAGAGACGCGGGGAGACACGGGGAGAGATACGCGGGGAGAGAGACGCGGGGAGAGACACGGGGGGTGAGAGAGACGCGGGGAGAGAGACGCGGGGAGAGAGACGCGGGGAGAGAGACGCGGGGAGAGAGACGCGGGGAGAGAGACGCGGGGAGAGAGACGCGGGGAGAGAGACGCGGGGAGAGAGACGCGGGGAGAGAGACGCGGGGAGAGAGACGCGGGGAGAGAGACGCGGGGAGAGAGACGCGGGGAGAGAGACGCGGGGAGAGAGACGCGGGGAGAGAGACGCGGGGAGAGAGACGCGGGGAGAGAGACGCGGGGAGAGAGACGCGGGGAGAGAGACGCGGGGAGACGCGGGGAGAGACACGGGGGGTGAGAGAGACGCGGGGAGAGAGACGCGGGGAGAGAGACGCGGGGAGAGAGACGCGGGGAGAGAGACACGGGGAGAGAGAGACGCGGGGAGAGAGACGCGGGGAGAGAGACGCGGGGAGAGAGACGCGGGGAGAGAGACACGGGGAGAGAGACGCGGGGAGAGAGACACGGGGAGAGAGACGCGGGGAGAGAGACGCGGGGAGAGAGACGCGGGGAGAGAGACGCGGGGAGAGACGGGGAGAGAGACGCGGGGAGAGAGACGCGGGGAGAGACACGGGGGGTGAGAGAGACGCGGGGAGAGAGACGCGGGGAGAGAGACGCGGGGAGAGAGACGCGGGGAGACGCGGGGAGAGAGACGCGGGGAGAGAGACGCGGGGAGAGAGACGCGGGGAGAGAGACGCGGGGAGAGAGACGCGGGGAGACACGGGGAGAGAGACGCGGGGAGAGAGACGCGGGGAGAGAGACGCGGGGAGAGAGACACGGGGAGAGAGAGACGCGGAGGGGGGAAGAGAGACACGGGGAGAAGAGACACGGGGAGAGAGACGCGGGGAGAGAGACGCGGGGAGAGAGACGCGGGGAGAGAGACACGGGGAGAGAGACACGGGGTGAGAGAGACGCGGGGAGAGAGAGACGGGGTGAGAAGAGACATCGTGAACAAACACCACCACCTCTCCCCACAGACACTCACACTCAAAACCAAAGATCCCCCATATAGCCTCAACAGATTGTCGGGGCAAGTGCTGCGAGTGAGCAGCAGCGTCTATGAAGGGCCGTGGTGGTGGCGGCCAGCACCACGCCTTGCCGCTTTTGTCCCCCGTGGCGATGTTCACGCACCGCACCAAGTACTCATTTGAGGCCGAGTCGACCTAGGGGAGGCCCGGGAGCAGTTCAGATCATCGCTATCGCCGGTCTTGGTGGCCGTGAGCGGGGAAACAAACTGGGGTCGGCGGGTTCGCAGCGCGCTAACCGCTGTCCCACCTGTCCCCACGCCCGCACACACGGAGACTCAAAACACCAAGTACAGACGTGTCCTCCTATAACGTGGCGCTAGCAGCAGTCGCGTCCCTGAAGAACAATCTCGTTACAGTAATAGACAACACAGGGGGTGAGGCAGAGTCCGTGGTAACGCGTCAGATGCGTTACGCAGGGCTGAGGAAGGCCGAGACGCGTGGTGAGCAGCGTCTAGAAGAAGCATCCAGCAGCATCCCAGTGCCCTGTTGGGTGACGACGACAATGATGATGACAACTGTGACGATGATGGTGATGACAATGATGACAACAGTGACGATGATGACAATGATGACGATGACGACAACAGTGACGATGATGGTGATGATGGCAATGATGATGAATGATGACAATGATGACAACAGTGACGATGATGGTGATGATGACAATGATGATGAATGACAATGATGACAACAGTGACGATGATGGTGATGATGGCAATGATGATGAATGATGACAATGATGACAACAGAGACGATGATGGTGATGATGACAATGATGATGAATGACAATGATGACAACAGTGACGATGATGGTGATGATGACAATGATGATGACAATGATGACGATGACGACAATAGTGACGATGATGGTGATGATGACAATGATGATGAATGATGACAATGATGACAGTGACGATGATGGTGATGATGACAATGATGATGAATGATGACAATGATGATGAATGATGACAATGATGACAACAGTGACGATGATGGTGATGATGACAATGAATGATGACAATGATGACAACAGTGACGATGACAATGATGATGACGACAATGATGACGACAACAGTGATGATGGTGATGATAATGATGATGATAATGACGATGACGACAATGATGATGAATGATGACAATGATGACAACTGTGACGATGATGGTGATGATGACAATGATGACGACAACAGTGACGATGATGGTGATGACAATGATGATGACAATGATGACAACAGTGACGATGATGACAATGATGATGACGACGACAATGATGACGACAACAGTGACAATGATGACGGTGATGATGACAATGATGACGAAGATGACGGTGATGACGACAACAGTGACAACGATGACGGTGATGATGACAATGATGACGACGATGATGATGACAATGATGACGATGATGACGGTGATGACGATATCGACGACGATGCTCAGCAGAGGCAGCTGCCACGACCGCCGCTCTTTCACTCCGCGCGCTGCGACGGAATTCCCCTCACTCCATCTCGTTGTAAACTCCCAAGGCGTTACGGTAAACATGAGTCACAGCACTAGGGACCCCGCGAGTGGAGAGTGTCGGTATGCCGTAAGTCTGTGCGTACATTGCTACAGCGGTGCAAGAGCACCGGAGCACAGCGTAGCGTGTGTACAGGGCAGCACGTGTGTTCAAACTTCTGTCGCGCCAAATGCAGCCAACCGTGCCGATCTGTGGGGTGTCTTCTGTGGGTCTGCATGCACTCAATCGCTTTGGCACTGTACGTGGCCAACCATGCTGATCAGACAACTACACACACACCAACTACACACACCAACTACACACACCAACAACACCAACAACAACAAGCAGTATCTTAAATTTTGATTTAAAGCTTTCGTGACTGCAGTAATTCATATTCTTAGTTTTTTTTCGGTAAAGTCACGTTGAAGGGAAACAACAAAATAATATAAAATATAAATATAAAACAATAAAAAAATTCTCACGACGTTTCGACCATAACTCAAACGGTCGTCTTCAGGTGTGTTGGTTCGCATAAATTTATTTTAAAACGGCGCATTTATTTATTTATAAAAAAACGTTAGCGCCACGCGCAACGATTTGGCAGTTTACCCAGGACTAGTCCATCTATATTCTGAAAAGAGGAGTGGCTTTCAGACAGCATACGTTATAAAAAATTTCGTCTCCCCCCTCCTCTTTTCAGAATATAGATGGACTAGTCCTGGGTAAAGTGCCAAATCGTTGCGTGTGGCGCTAACGTTTTTTTATATATAAATAAATAAATGCGCCGTTTAAAAATAAATTTCTGCGAACCAACACACCTGAAGACGACCGTTTGAGCTATGGTCGAAACGTCGTGAGAATTTTTTTTATTGTTTTATATATATAAATTATTATTTTGTTGTTTCCCTTCAACGTGACTTTACCGAAAAAAAACTAAGAATACAAGCTGTATCTTCTTTGGTTCTTTCGGTAAAGTCACCACCACCACCACCACGTAGAATGAGAATAAAATAATACCATTGACAAAATAAAATAACACGGTAATAATATCCTCACGACGTTTCGGCCACAACACAAGCGGCCTTCATCAGGTGGACGAGACTGTCTGGTAGGACAGCGCCACGCGACTTCACCGAAAGAACCAAAGAAGATGAATCCTTGCAGTCACGAGAGGCTTTCGAATCGCAAATTCAACAAGCGGTGTGGCGAGGAGCGGCGAGTAGTACCGGAGAGTTTGGTGGTGAGAACTCCTTCGTACTCCTCCCTCAGGGAGTCCTCCCTCTCCCTCATGGCTCGCTCGCAGATCAGAGCCACCTGGCGCAGGGTGAGCAGCGGTGAGGAGTGGTGAGTGGGAGCAGCAGCGGCGGTGAGGAGGAGAGGGCCCGGGGGGTCCCTGTGAGGGCACGGCGCTGACAGGGCGGCGGCGGCGGCGGCGGGCACGGAGCGGAGACACGGAGACACTACACCTGGGGGAGAGACAGAGACACGGTGAGACACGGTGAGACAGAGACACGGTGAGACAGAGACACGGTGAGACAGAGACAGAGACACGGTGAGACAGAGACACGGGGACACTACACCTGGGGGAGAGACAGAGACACGGTGAGACAGAGACACGGTGAGACAGACACAGAGACACGGTGAGACAGAGACACGGGGACACTACACCTGGGGGAGAGACAGAGACACGGAGACACGGTGAGACAGAGACACGGTGAGACAGAGACACGGAGACACTACACCTGGGGGAGAGACAGAGACACGGAGACACGGTGAGACAGAGACACGGTGAGACAGAGACACGGGGACACTCCTGGGGGAGAGGCAGAGACACGGTGAGACAGAGACACGGTGACACAGAGACACAGAGACACGGTGAGACAGAGACACGGTGAGACAGAGACACGGAGACACGCCTGGGGGAGAGACAGAGACACGGTGAGACAGAGACACGGTGACACAGACACAGAGACACGGTGAGACAGAGACACGGTGAGACAGACACGGAGACACGGAGACACTACACCTGGGGGAGAGGCAGACACGGAGACACGGTGAGACAGAGACACGGTGAGACAGAGACACAGAGACACGGGGACACTCCTGGGGGAGAGACAGAGACACGGTGAGACAGAGACACGGTGAGACAGACACAGAGACACGGTGAGACAGAGACACTCCTGGGGGAGAGACAGAGACACGGTGAGACAGAGACACGGTGAGACAGAGACACGGTGAGACAGAGACACGGTGAGACAGAGACACGGAGACACTCCTGGGGGAGAGGCAGAGACACGGTGAGACAGAGACACGGGGACACGGTGAGAGAGAGACACGGAGACACGGGGACACTCCTGGGGGAGAGGCAGAGACACGGTGAGACAGCGACACAGAGACAGAGACACGGAGACACGGAGACACTCCTGGGGGAGAGGCAGAGACACGGAGACACGGTGAGACACACACAGAGACACGGTGAGACAGAGACACGGTGAGACAGAGACACGGTGAGACAGAGACACGGTGAGACAGAGACACGGAGACACTCCTGGGGGAGAGGCAGAGACACGGTGAGACAGAGACACGGGGACACGGTGAGAGAGAGACACGGAGACACGGGGACACTCCTGGGGGAGAGGCAGAGACACGGTGAGACAGAGACACAGAGACAGAGACACGGAGACACTCCTGGGGGAGAGGCAGAGACACGGAGACACGGTGAGACACACACAGAGACACGGTGAGACAGAGACACGGTGAGACAGAGACACGGAGACACTACACCTGGGGGAGAGACAGAGACACGGAGACACGGTGAGACACGGTGAGACAGAGACACGGTGAGACAGAGACACGGAGACACGGGGACACGCCTGGGGGAGAGGCAGAGACACGGTGAGACAGAGACACGGAGACACTACGCCTGGGGGAGAGACAGAGACACGGTGAGACACACACAGAGACAGAGACACGGGGACACGGAGACACTCCTGGGGGAGAGGCAGAGACACGGTGAGACAGAGATACAGAGACACGGGGACACTCCTGGGGGAGAGACAGAGACACGGTGAGACAGAGACACAGAGACACGGGGACACTCCTGGGGGAGAGACAGAGACACGGTGAGACAGAGACACAGAGACACGGGGACACTCCTGGGGGAGAGACAGAGACACGGTGAGACAGAGACACAGAGACACGGGGACACTCCTGGGGGAGAGACAGAGACACGGTGAGACAGAGACACAGAGACACGGGGACACTCCTGGGGGAGAGACAGAGACACGGTGAGACAGAGACACAGAGACACTCCTGGGGGAGAGGCAGAGACACGGTGAGACAGAGACACGGAGACACGGTGAGACAGAGACACGGTGAGACAGAGACACGGTGAGACAGAGACACGGTGAGACAGAGACACGGGGACACTCCTGGGGGAGAGACAGAGACACGGTGAGACAGAGACACGGAGACACGCCTGGGGGAGAGACAGAGACACGGTGAGACAGACACAGAGACACTGTGAGACAGACACGGAGACACTCCTGGGGGAGAGACAGAGACACGGTGAGACAGAGACACGGTGAGACAGAGACACGGGGACACTCCTGGGGGAGAGACAGAGACACGGTGAGAGAGACACGGTGAGACAGACACAGAGACACGGTGAGACAGAGACACGGAGACACTACGCCTGGGGGAGAGACAGAGACACGGTGAGACAGAGACACGGTGAGACAGAGACACGGTGAGACAGACACCGTGAGACAGACACGGAGACACTCCTGGGGGAGAGGCAGAGACACAATGAGACAGAGACACGGTGAGACAGAGACACGGGGACACTACGCCTGGGGGAGAGACAGAGACACGGAGACACGGTGAGACAGAGACACGGTGAGACAGAGACACGGTGAGACAGAGACACGGTGAGACAGAGACACGGAGACACTCCTGGGGGAGAGGCAGAGACACGGTGAGACAGAGACACGGGGACACGGTGAGAGAGAGACACGGAGACACGGGGACACTCCTGGGGGAGAGGCAGAGACACGGTGAGACAGAGACACAGAGACAGAGACACGGGGACACTCCTGGAGGAGAGGCAGAGACACGGTGAGACAGACACGGTGAGACAGAGACACGGAGACACTCCTGGGGGAGAGGCAGAGACACGGTGAGACAGAGACACGGTGAGACAGAGACACGGGGACACTCCTGGGGGAGAGACAGAGACACGGTGAGACAGAGACACAGAGACACGGGGACACTACGCCTGGGGGAGAGACAGAGACACGGTGAGACAGAGACACGGAGACACTCCTGGGGGAGAGGCAGAGACACGGTGAGACAGAGACACAGAGACAGAGACACGGAGACACGGGGACACTCCTGGGGGAGAGACAGAGACACGGTGAGACAGAGACACAGAGACACGGGGACACTCCTGGGGGAGAGACAGAGACACGGTGAGACAGAGACACGGTGAGACAGAGACACAGAGACACGGGGACACTACTGGGGGAGAGGCAGAGACACGGTGAGACAGAGACACGGTGAGACAGAGACACGGTGAGACAGACACAGAGACACGGTGAGACAGAGACACGGAGACACTACGCCTGGGGGAGAGACAGAGACACGGTGAGACAGAGACACGGTGAGACAGAGACACGGTGAGACAGAGACACGGTGAGACAGAGACACGGAGACACGGTGAGACAGAGACACGGGGACACTCCTGGGGGAGAGACAGAGACACGGTGAGACAGAGACACGGTGAGACAGAGACACGGAGACACGGTGAGACAGACACGGAGACACTCCTGGGGGAGAGACAGAGACACGGTGAGACAGAGACACGGGGACACGCCTGGGGGAGAGACAGAGACACGGTGAGACAGAGACACGGTGAGACAGAGACACGGAGACACGGTGAGACAGAGACACGGGGACACTCCTGGGGGAGAGACAGAGACACGGTGAGACAGAGACACGGGGACACGCCTGGGGGAGAGACAGAGACACGGTGAGACAGAGACACGGGGACACTCCTGGGGGAGAGACAGAGACACGGTGAGACAGAGACACGGTGAGACACGGTGAGACAGAGACACGGTGAGACAGAGACACGGTGAGACAGAGACACGGGGACACTACGCCTGGGGGAGAGACAGAGACACGGTGAGACAGAGACACGGGGACACTACGCCTGGGGGAGAGACAGAGACACGGTGAGACAGAGACACAGAGACACGGCGAGACAGAGACACGGTGAGACAGAGACACAGAGACACGGGGACACGCCTGGGGGAGAGACAGAGACACGGTGAGACAGACACAGAGACACTACGCCTGGGGGAGAGACAGAGACACGGTGAGACAGAGACACGGTGAGACAGAGACACGGTGAGACAGAGACACGGTGAGACAGACACAGAGACACGGTGAGACAGACACAGAGACACTACGCCTGGGGGAGAGACAGAGACACGGTGAGACAGAGACACGGTGAGACAGAGACACGGTGAGACAGAGACACTGTGAGACAGACACAGAGACACGGTGAGACAGACACGGGGACACTACGCCTGGGGGAGAGACAGAGACACGGTGAGACAGAGACACGGTGAGACAGAGACACGGGGACACGGTGAGACAGAGACACGGGGACACGCCTGGGGGAGAGACAGAGACACGGTGAGACAGACACAGAGACACGGTGAGACAGAGACACGGAGACACGCCTGGGGGAGAGACACGGGGACACACGCCTGGGGGAGAGACAGAGACACGGTGAGACAGAGACACGGTGAGACAGAGACACGGTGAGACAGAGACACGGGGACATGCCTGGGGGAGAGACAGAGACACGGTGAGACAGAGACACGGGGACACACGCCTGGGGGAGAGACAGAGACACGGTGAGACAGAGACACGGTGAGACAGAGACACGGAGACACGCCTGGGGGAGACAGAGACACGGTGAGACAGAGACACCGTGAGACAGAGACACGGGGACACGCCTGGGGGAGAGACAGAGACACGGTGAGACAGAGACACGGTGAGACAGAGACACGGTGAGACGGTGAGACAGAGACACAGAGACACGGGGACACGCCTGGGGGAGAGACAGAGACACGGTGAGACAGACAGAGACACGGTGAGACAGAGACACGGGGACATGGTGAGACAGAGACACGGGGACACTACGCCTGGGGGAGAGACAGAGACACGGTGAGACAGAGACATGGTGAGACAGAGACACGGAGACACTCCTGGGGGAGAGGCAGAGACACGGTGAGACAGAGACACAGAGACACGGAGACACGGGGACACTCCTGGGGGAGAGACAGAGACACGGTGAGACAGAGACACGGTGAGACAGAGACACGGTGAGACAGAGACACGGTGAGACAGAGACACGGAGACACGGTGAGACAGACACGGAGACACTCCTGGGGGAGAGACAGAGACACGGTGAGACAGAGACATGGTGAGACAGAGACACGGTGAGACACGGTGAGACAGAGACACGGTGAGACAGAGACACGGTGAGACAGAGACACGGAGACACTACGCCTGGGGGAGAGACAGAGACACGGTGAGACAGAGACACGGGGACACTACGCCTGGGGGAGAGACAGAGACACGGTGAGACAGAGACACAGAGACACGGCGAGACAGAGACACGGTGAGACAGAGACACAGAGACACGGGGACACTCCTGGGGGAGAGACAGAGACACGGTGAGACAGAGACACGGTGAGACAGACACAGAGACACTACGCCTGGGGGAGAGACAGAGACACGGTGAGACAGAGACACGGTGAGACAGAGACACGGTGAGACAGACACAGAGACACTACGCCTGGGGGAGAGACAGAGACACGGTGAGACAGAGACACGGTGAGACAGAGACACGGTGAGACAGAGACACGGTGAGACAGAGACACGGTGAGACAGACACAGAGACACGGTGAGACAGAGACACGGGGACACTACGCCTGGGGGAGAGACAGAGACACGGTGAGACAGAGACACGGTGAGACAGAGACACGGTGAGACAGAGACACGGTGAGACAGAGACACGGGGACACGGTGAGACAGAGACACGGTGAGACAGAGACACGGGGACACGCCTGGGGGAGAGACAGAGACACGGTGAGACAGACACAGAGACACGGTGAGACAGACACGGTGAGACAGACACAGAGACACGGTGAGACAGAGACACGGAGACACGCCTGGGGGAGAGACACGGGGACACACGCCTGGGGGAGAGACAGAGACACGGTGAGACAGAGACACGGTGAGACAGAGACACGGTGAGACAGAGACACGGTGAGACAGAGACACGGGGACATGCCTGGGGGAGAGACAGAGACACGGTGAGACAGAGACACGGGGACACACGCCTGGG